TTTATGTTTGTCTTTAATACATTTTGCATTTTCAAGTTATGGAATCTATTATTTGAGTCAATAGTAATATTCAAATGAAAAGCCATAACCACATTACACATTTTGTCTCAGGAAGAATGATCAAACTTCAGCCAGACAAGATATAGATTTTCCTGAAAAGTTGAAAGTAATATCTTGGCCTTATTATAACTTCAAGGGGTGATCCAACTGTACAAAACCTCAGAGCAAGAAGCCAACTGGCACCAAGGTGGTGAAAATTAATGCAAGCAAAAATTTCCTCTAAAAGGAACATTTGAGTGGCGTGGAAGAAGAAATTCTTGCCTTTGAATTCTTTGTGGTACTCTCTATAGAGTTCATTCAGTAAAATGGGGTTGTCGTGCTTGGTAAATTCTCTAGTCATCATGTCTTTTAATAAGATAGATAATTTATGTTTTCAAACTCTGGCATAACAACCTAGTCATACAAGGAGCACTAGTTCCTGTGTAGAAAAAGAAGCAAAAATGAAGTGTTTTGGGGTAAACCTGATTTGTAATTATCCAAATAAAAAAATCTCTTCCACTAATTTAACATTTTAATGTTTACTCATTGTGATTTGTATTCTTATCTGCCTAGATAATTACTGAAGTACTTTTCTGTATTTTAGTAGCCCACTAAAAAGAGATTTATAAAACAACCATATACACTCATTCAATAGTGAACTTTTTCAGACTGAAAATATATTTATTTATTTATGCATTTATTCCATTTCTGATTTTATGAGTACATTTACATTTATAAAAAATTTTTAATTACATATCATTATCAGGGAAAATCAAATTTCAGGGTTTTGTTTTTTTCAGTTTTTTTTTTTTTTTTTTTTTTTTTTTTTTTTTTTTTTTTTTTTGTACTGAGAATCAGACTCACAACCTTGCACTTGCTAGGCAGGCGCTTATGCCACTGAGCTAAATCACCAGTCCTAAATTTCAGTTTTATATTGATCTCTTTCCTGTGGTTAAGAAAAAAATAGCTGACACCTACAATTTAAAAGAGAGTGTTATTTTGGCTAACAGTTTCAGTGAGTTCAGTACATGAGTAGCTTGCTTCAAGGCAGAAAAAGCAAAGCAGAAGGGTTTGACAAAGGAAAATCATGCACTGTATGTTGACCAGGAAACAGAGCAAAGGAAAGGGGCAGAATGACTTTCACCTTTCCCAAGTCATGCCCCATCCCCTTTCACACAAATACCATCTCTAAAATGAAACTTTGGGGAAACATTCTAGATCTAAACCATAGCAAAAACCTAACACAATAGAGAAAGATTGCAAATGTAAAGCCTTAAGATGGTTATTAATTTCTGGCTGTTCCACTAACTTTCACATCCTTTGTAACTAAAAGAAATGGTAAAATGGGATCAGTTACAGAATTTTCATTGTATGTAAGAAAATACCATCTACCCCGGATTAGTTTGAGGAGAAAGAGCATAGCAATTCATATCATGTGAAAGAAATATTTCTGAGGGGATATCTAAAGTGATTAAATTCCTTAGGTATCTGACTAAAAAAAATAGTGATATATAGACCAAGACTTTAGAGACAAACCAGTACAGAAGGTTGTAAACTGTAAGTTGTATTATATAGGGAATTTTTTGTCTAAATTGGGTATGTAATTTCAAAATACAGTGTCGTAGTTACTTTTCTCATTGCTAAAAAATCCTACACCCAACAACAAAGGAGGAAAGGTTTTTTTCTTCAGCTCACCGTTTGCAGAGATTTTAGTACATAGCTGGCTGGCTCCATGGCAAGGTGTCTTGACAGAGAGGTATCACAGAAGAGAACAGTTGATGGCAGGCAGATTGTAGCAAAGCAACAAAGGAGAGAGCAAGACTTTCTGTCTCATATTCTATGCAGACTACCATCCTAAGGGCAGGTATAGCACTCACTCCCTTAATCCCAGCATTGGACCATGAATCAGTCACAAACTCTAGAAGCCTGCCCCCATGACTGCATGAGGCTTTGGGGGGCATCCAGACATAAACCATAGCAAATACTAAAGGCAATTTTGCCTGAGAAGATATAAAAATACCATAAAAAGATTGATCTACCTTTCTAATTGTATTGCTCTGAAGATAAATCACAGCCTCTCTGAAAGTACAGATTAATCACTTGAGCTTTAGGAGAGCATTCATATACTTCATATCTTTCCATGATTTTTTTAAGCTGGGGAAGGACTTGAAGTGTAACTGTTCTGATTCACCTTTTGTAGTTCTTTATCACTTCTTTGGCAATGGACAATAAAATATAAATAGCATATTAATTTCTGTACTCATATGAACTTTGTAGAACTTCCGTGTTATTTTTTATAATTTATATCCTAAAGGGCAAAGAAACATCTCATTTATCTCTGTATCCCAGCATCTAGCAAAGAAAGTGAAACATAATGGATTTTTTAATCCATTATGCTTTCCAGAATGAGCCACTTTGCAGACTTTTGAGACTATCATCTCCTTTCATATGGCTTGAAAAGGTCAAGTTCATGTACCAACCAACACCAAGGAGCCTGATTTATAGTTAAAGCCTTCCTTTGGCATCAGTTCAAGAACATTAACTGAAAGCACTATGGCAAATGATGTAGGTATGGGTTTTTTCCAGAGCAACCTTCAAAATATATACGACCAACATACAGTAAATGTTGAAACTTTAAAAAGTTATTACAATAAAAGACGTTACCATTAATTCCCTCCAAAAGTCCCCTGCTCTGTTCAAGCATACTCATTCCATCGTTCTTGCTACTTTTTAAAGCAGATCTAGAAGTCCTCTTTGGTGAGTGTCATTAAGCTATTGTCAAAAATATGGTGAATGCTATTGTCAAATGCTATGCAATGAAAAAGCAAACTTGTAAAAGACAAAAAGGAAATCACAGTGTGTCCTCATCCACCTTTTTTTTTTTTTTTTTTACAAGATCTGGCATCATGTGAGTTCTGGCTCCTCCCAAAATCAAAATGAGCATGAAAGGTAAATGTTTTTAATTCCCAACATTAAGACAGCCATGACAATCATCACAGTGCAAATAAATACACTCACAGGAAAGGACTTTAAGACTTGATACAAGAAGTGTCAAAAGTGATGGCATATATGTGTTTGAAACAAGGGGGAGTATTTTGAAGTAAATGCACTGATGTCAATGTGAATTTTTCTGTAATAAATCTTTTTAAATTTAAACATTCACCATACATTCTATTAACATCTTTTAGGTTTATGATGTCAATAGTTTAACAGATCAGTGTTCACACACTTGATTTATGAAACAGTCACCCTAACCCACTTTCTACACTGAGAATTATAGCTATGTAATATCAAGATTTTAAAAATCAGCTTCATGAGTATTTACCATTTGAAAGTCAAAAGCCCCAAACATAACAAATTCTTAAAAATAAGGCCAGAAAATCAACAACAGACTACCATAACTTTGTTCTCCTCCTTGGCACAAGGCTCACAAGGAGAAGGTTGCAGATAATAGCATAGGAATGTAGAGTGGAATCTACTGTAACATGGGTCTAAACAATGTCAAAATCAAATTGACAAATGACTTAGTAATACTGTACAAACAAAAGGTTTACACAATTAATTTTTGTTCTTGCAACACTTTTCTACTGAATCAGAATCTACATTTTATGTTAGAAAGATATTCACTGGCTTCACCTGTGCACTAAATTTCAAGAAGCACTATTCTAGCCCAGAATACTAATAATAAAGGATGTGGCCCTTAATAAGTTTCAGAAGGTGTCAATAAAACAATAGCTATGAGCCATGGGAGAAGAAACAAGCCAATTTGTCCTTTCTATGAGTCAGCAGAAGTCATGCTGGGCCTGGGAGGAATAAAGAGAAGCAAGCTTATGCTTCCTGTAAGTCTACTGGTGTGTAAACTGGGAGATAAAGGTATTCCCCTTGCCCCTCAAGGAGCAACCAGCTGCTTCAGAGGACAGGCTGAGTTAATAGTAATTGAGGTACAAAAACAGTTTAATGCTTGTATTGTTTGATTAACATTGCAGGCCTAAGGCCAGTAGTCTGAGCATCTATTAGAAGGACAACAACATGCAATTAGTAATATGGGGACTTTCTTCTGTTTTGTTTTTGAAATCCAATATTGCTCACTGTTTTATTCCCTTTTATTGTTTTGTTTTATTCAATGTTCTGTTTTGTTTGATTTTATTACATCTGAGGATATGGGTAGCAATTTTGAAGATAACAAAATGGTAACCATTGTTGATTTCCTATTACCTTGTATTGAAGTGCTATATCACTTTCATTGTTTTTTTTGATTGGCTTTATTGTTTTACTTTGTTTGGCTTTATTGTCTTTAAAATAAAAAAATAAAAATCATAGCTATGAAAATGCCATGAGAATATGATCTATCACCCACTCTTTCATGATGAGCAGTGAGCTACCATTTTAGGATGGTTTAATAGCTTTAAAGTTAAAAAAAAAACCTGTTTTTTGGTATGGCCCCAAATGAATTCCCAGTTATTCCCAGTTTGTCCCAAAGTGGTCAATATTTCAGGTAACCATAAGTGTTGTCTTCACTTTGCTATTAACTTGGTCACGTATGTGTTCTCAGTTTGTAATTTTTAAAAACATTAATGATGTCCCAGTTCTCTATTTATATTTCCTCCCAATCACTGACAGTTCCATAGTTCATAAAGTGGATAATTAAATTGGTGGGAAATCTACAGGTGCATACACATTGTAGTTTCTAAACAGAGGGTCAAAGGCAAGTAGAAGTGGGAAACTTGACACTAGATTTGGAGGAACCAGCAGAGCCCTAAGTGTGGGGAGGTAGGAAGTTTCTGTTGTTTTGCTTTGTTCTGTTTGGCTTTCAACATGATTTTATTTGCAAGCTTCATTTTCAGCACAGTGGAGGAAATGTGCCTCGCAGCTACCTGAGGGTTTATGGGAGCTGGCTTGCTCATCTGGGCGTGTTCTGGCTGGTATTGAGCAGCGCTTCTTCCTACACAACGTTTCAGCACCGCGGACAGCGCCCAGGCGCCTGCTCCAGCCGGAAGGGATGGGGAGAATTCCCAATGACGCATTTAGACTCAGGTTAAACCAGCACGATTTCGCCCCCGCTTTTCCTTTACCTTACGAGAATAAACGAGGTTACATTGAGCTCCTCCTGACCCGCGAGGCTGTCTTCACGCACAACAAATGCCCGCGGTACAGGTGGGCTGTTGCGGGCGAGAAAGCGAGGAATTTTGCAAGAAATACATGAACCCCGTGGCGCCCCAGGAAGCCACAGTGGTCTGCGCCTTGGTGACCAGCCTTCAGGGTGGGAGATGGAAGAGATCTCTGGCTCTCTCCTCCTCGTTTCCTTTTCTGCAGGGCTGAAGAGCAGAGCCTGTTGCTGGCCAGCCCTCCCCTCCTCTTGGTCTCACACCCAGACCCAGCCAGACACGTCTGCTCGCGCGCGAGTGTTTACACACGTTCTCCAGCAAATCCAGAGGCGCGGGCACATGCACTTCGGGGTTAAGGTAGGGGGGTCAGGGCCTCTGTCTGCACCAACAGGCACAGGCATTGACACACGCAGGCCAGGAAAGCGTGTCGCCGCGGTCGTGTGTCCCCACGCAGGTGCCCAGAGCGCGCCTGGCGCGCGGTTGCTGAAGCGATCGCGCGCACAGCCACACAGGCCACCCTTAAGTCTGCTGGCTGGACCCCATCTCCATGACAACAGGCATGGAAGGTGAGACACTGCCGCTAACAACTTACTTTCCCCCGCCCCTTCCCTTCCGCATCCAGTAGCAGCTTGCAGGCTCCAGTGCAGGGCTGGGGAGGGGCGCGCCCTCCGGCTCCAGTCTTTCCCAAGCAGGAAGGGGGGGGGGGTCAGGAGGGAGGAAAGGAGGGATGCAGGTCAAATCCTAAAAAAGAAAGGGCCCTGATGCTACCGCGGATGCCGAAGCTGTCATTAAAAAAAAAAAAAAAAAAAAAAAAGTGTTTCTGTGTGCAAATTGCTGCTGCTTCTCCCGTAAAATTTTATGGGAAGTTTCCATGGTTCCTCGGCTTAATATGTAGAAAGAGAACTGGAGACAAACCGGGCAGAATCCTCAGGACGATCTAGGTGTCTCTCCTGAAACGCTTTTTAAATTTTTTTCAGACCAGTGCTTTGGAAGGAATCAGTATCCGAGGAGTCATCCAAAGATGCTCTTAAAAGACAAATTCTCTTAAGGTTTGAAATCTGAAAGGTTTTAGGGTGGATCTGGGAAGATCCCAAGGTTTGGATCTCAGGGAAACTCTGAGATTTATGCGTTTCACCTATGAAGACATCTGGGTTTGTGATTTAAGATTTTTCTTTCATGTCCATCCATTCCGTTCCTTACGATTAACAGCTCTGTGCAGAGGTGGCCTCCGTAACGTTCTGTTCCTCTCTACCTTCAGTACGATTTAATAACCTTTCTGTGTGGTGCGGTGTGGGGGGTATATAGATAGGAGGGTTCGTTTTTAAGCTTGGGTGATCGTGTATACGTGTCATTTCATCGAATTATGAATGTTGTGTCATTAGTATCAGAGATTCTTATATCTAACAAGCAACACTAAAATAATTTTTACCCAAAACATCACATTCCACTCTTCTAACTGTTCCAGATTTATTGTGTGGACTGCCATTACTAGATAAACAAAAGGGGAAAACCTGTTGAGGAAAATAAAAATATGGAAGGTTTTTTTTTTTTTTTCAAAAAAGCCAAGTGCATACATTCTTAGCACTGGTTTCTGCAAGTATGCATTGTTTCGTGCAAATGAATTAGCTTCGTGTTTCTGAAAAGTGCAATTTTATGTCTCCTAATCAGGAAGCTTATTTCACAAAAGAAGTAAATACCACTTCCATTTATATATATGAAGGGCTACTTCTATCAGGCATAAAAATGCTACCTTTGCTTGTTTACTTATACGACTGATTGTTGGTTGCTAACTACAAAGCAACTTTGTGAGATCTGGGCCTTTGATATCTACAGGTAATCCTTGGCCTAACCCCATGACTCATCAAGGCCTGCACATTTCAGGGCTTCACACTTGCTGTGAAAGAAATCACGCACTCTCAGCCTCACTGCTTGCCTCTGAAGTGCCTAAACATTCACTTAAAGAACCTGGCTCACAGCAGTCTTTTCCTATATGCAGTAGTATTAGAAAACTGTAACTAAACATTTCAATTATGGAATGCTGATGATTTTATTTATTTTGTGGCATAAAATGTTTAATTCCTAGCACTACTCAATTGCACATTCTACCCTACCTGTTTATTTTTCTCAAGTTTTCCCATATTTTTAATGGATAGAGTTGTACTTTATAACCTCGTTCTTGTCATGTTTGGTCTGTCAAGTTCCCACTTTTTAAGCCGATGTTTTCCTCCCGAGGTAGCCATTGCAATGTCTCCTGTGCAGAGCCAATGATTTTTTGTTTCCCATTCCTTCCAGCAACTCTGAAAATCTTTCTTTCCTCCTTAGTTACTGAAAATTTTAGATACCTGAAGAAATCAGCACTATAATTGAACTCTTCTATTCATCTTAAATTTTATTGTATTGATGTTTTTATATCAGCACACTTAAAATATATTTTCAAAAACTTCAGATTTGATGCTGAAGTGAGAGAAAGCATTCATTTCAAAAATCAAACAAAAGGGAAAATTTGAAAAATTAGAGTCTGAAATACCAGCATTCCAACTGCTATCCCTATGTGTTTGAGTCCCAGGACTGTTTGCTGAATGCATTGTTGGGCAGTTGCTTAACTTTTGGTTATATTTTCTTGTGTAGGAATAGCCTCCAGCTATGGCCAGATTTTTTTCCAGCCTTGATTGCTTTTCAGGACCTTTAGTTTATTTTTTTTCTTTAGTATAATGTAGAAAGTTAAAATAGAGACGGGCATGGTGGCTCATGCCTGTAATCCTAGCACTCAGCAGGCTGAGGCAGGAGGATCATTGTGAGTTCAAGGCCAGCCTGGGCTACAAAGTGAGCTCAAGGCCAGCCTGAACTACACAGTAAGATCCTATATCCCAAAAAGACAAACAAACAAACAAAAAAAGTTAAGATAAATAGAAAAATCTGTTTTTCCTTTTTAGATATTAATAAAACCCTGTTGTTTCTCCACTTAAAATTTTTATTAAAAATGGAAATTTCATGCCTCTTTGCCCTTAGTTAAATTTAGTTGGCTTTTCTTTGGAATACTGAATACCTGGTCACGACCTTATTATTAAAATGGTAGTTCTCATCACCTAACCATCTACACCTGTGTGCAAGAAAAATGTATTTTATCAAATTTCCTTACTACCTGGCACTGTTCCCTCAGTCTCCATCATACCTAACTCTTCTTTAATTTAACGTCCTTCCTTGACATGCACCTGACGAAATAATGCTGAAGGCCAACCCCAAGGCCTATTGCTCAGTGATCAGCTTTCATCACCACTGCAGAACTTGGCAGGATATCAAGGCTCCTCCAGGAGCCCTGCCCTGCTGAGTCCCAGCTGAACTTCCTGCTCCATCCAGATGTCCTCCACACCCTAGACACATCTGACCCAACTGAATTGATGGTTTCTTCCACCTCCAATCTTACCTGGTAACAGCCAACAAGACCTTAATGGAATCACAACAAAATTGGACAAGCAGGAAAATAATATTTTGTCCAAGCTCGATCAATCTAATACACATCTACCTGGATTAAAACAAAACAACACTTCAAATATCTGTATGCACTGTTTGCACTTCTTTGATATTTCCTTTTCTAAGCAAGCTCAAAAGTTCTTTATTTCTCTTAAATTTGGATCTGCAAATACTTTTATGTACTGGGCTCTCTCCATCCTGTGTAAATTCTTTCACACAAAGTTTATTTGACCATCATACCCTTAAAATAATTTTCCCACTGGAAATTTCATGCTGAACACCATGATCTCGTATGTGTCAGGCGGGAGTATCACAAATTCACTCATTTTAGAACTAACCTCTTGTTTACTTTCTAAATCTATATTTTGTTCTTACTTTACTACAGTTAATAAAAATATTATTTTCCTGCTTGTCCAAGCTTGATAGTACTACGCATCAGCACCTCACTTTCCATGGCCCCCTGGGCTCCATCACTCACCAAATCCGACAGCACCTGTCTTTGTGAGCATATTTCAAACCCACACTCTCTTCCACACTCTGACTAATGCAGCCCTACTGCTTCTCTAGAGAATAATCTCTTTTCCAGAATGTTCTCTCCCTCAAATTTATGTCTATTTTAGTCTTGTTACCAAACAACCTTTAGGTAAATAAATTGCAAACTCTTAGCCCACAGTCAACATGTTTCACAAATGGGCTGCACACTGCCTTTCCACCATTTTGTTTCCCATGTTCCCTTCTGCTTGGACCAAAATTTATACACTGTTTTCCAAATAAATCTAGCACTTTTCTGTTTTGTCCCACACCCAAATCTAAATCCTTCTCTCTTTCAAGATTCAGTTCAGCCAGGTGTGGTGGTTGACACCTATAATCCCAGCACTTGGGAGGTTAAGGCAGGAGGATTGCCATGAGTTCAAGGCCAGCCTGAACTACTAGCAAGACTCTGTCTCAAAAAAAAAAAAAAAGGAAAAAAGGAAAGAAAGAAAGAGATTCAGTTCAAATACAGTCTCTTGCAAGAGAAAATTTCCTGATCCCCAAATGCATGAAATTTCTATTATCTTTAAATTTGCTTATCCTCTTTGAATATTTTTCCTCAAGATGTTAGAGGTAATAATATGAATCCCATATGGTTGCTATGATGATAAAATAAAATAATTAAAGCTCTATTTGATCCACAGGGGATACTGAATACAAGTTTATTTCCTTTGTAGAACTCTACATTTTCTCTCTTACTAGTTGGAATCTCTTTGAAGAGAGGGGGCCCTGTCTAAAAGAATATAATTTCAATGCAATAAATATTTTGGTGCAAATATTATGAATATATCTACTTTATATGAAATATAATGCTGGCATTAGTGCTTTTTATCATTTATGATAACTTCAACTTAGGAAAGGTTTTGCTTTTCAAAGAACAACTCACATGTTTGATGCATATTAATTATTTATTAATTGTAACTTGCAGATTTATTTCAGATAAACTGCCAAGTTATGTCTCTCACATTTGAACTTGAACATAGAACATTTGGAAATATTTATGTTAAATTTTAGGCTCTGGTTTCAGTAGAGAAATCTAGATTTCAGAGTTGTTTTGAATGTGGATTCTGTTACCTGCCGCATAACTTCGTGACATGTGTGATAATCATCGTGTGGTCACTGCAGTGTGGCCACTGTTCAAAGATGCTGAAAAGGACGTAGATAAAGCTAGGGATCCTATAGAGCTATCTTCATGGTACAGAACATAAGGAAGAGTAGTTTGATGAACTACAATCTGCATAAAAATATTATCCAGGCATGTTTCACATCTTCCTAATAAACATATCACAGGAGACTGTTAGATGCATTGCCAAAAACATTACACAGTTTTGTGCTAGTTCCCTGATCCATTTTTAGTAATAAACTTTCCAAGCCCAAAGTGAATTCACCATTAGCTATAGTTTGGATCTGGGACACTCACCAAAGGCCGATGTGTTGCAGACATGGTTGCACCTCATGGCAGCACCGCGAGGTGGTGGAACTTTCTGGACATGGAGTCTCGTGGAAGGAAATGAGCTATGGGGAAGAGGGTGTGCTTGCCGTGACGTTTCTCCTTACACAGGGCCAAGGCAATCGGACCAAGCCACCACGCCCAGAAACCGCTGAAATTATAAACCAAAATTAATTTCTCTTCCCTTAGATTTAATCTTTCAGCTGTTTTGTCACAGTAGCGGACATCTAGTGCAAAAATTGCTTATTACAGTACAGTCATGTCACCTTCTAGTGACTTCTTAAATGCTGACAAATCACCTGTCAGAGATTAATTGCACATCATCAATACATATTTTTTACAATTTCTCATTATTCCTGAAAATGGAAGCATTTCTCTGTCTGTGCCCATACCTCTGACAACTGCCTCAAGGTTAGTGCACTTTTTGAAAAGTGCAAGTTATAAGTTATCTGATTCTTCAAACTCATTTAATATGTCTTATTGTTATTCTACTACATTGTTTTTTGTTTGTTTTTTGGTCTTTTTGAGACAGGATCTAGCTATGTAGTTCAGGCTGACTATGAACTCACTATGTAGCCCAGGCTAACCTTGAACTCAAGGCCATCCTCTTACCTAAGCCTCCTGTGGCTGAGGTTACAGGTGTGTAGCACCATGCCCAGAATTCTTATCACCTAACATTGATTGATTTTTTTGTTATTT